TCGATTCGCAGTTTCGTCAGACAGCGAGTGGCGCGACGATAAAAAGCAGCCCGCTTTAGTTACGAACTTATTATCGCGGAACAAACAGCAACGGTTTATTAATTTATCGTCGGAAGGAAGGTTGCTCCTTTTAATTATTCCTTAATTAAAAGTCCGGCGTTCTGTGCTGGCTGCCGGGTATTCTACGGGATTAAGCGTCCTCCCTGTCCCGCTTGCGAACGTCGCCGTCGTCGTCGCTGTCTCTTTTGTCGAGGCCGTTCTCTGTCTCTTTGTGCGGACACTTCATTTCGCAGCGCGCGAATTTTGTTAATCCGGTTAAGAGGCTCTCGAGGGATAAACCGAATTATGGTGTCGATGGTTATCGAGCAGCTGTGCGACGGGTCGCCGGTGTTTCTGCCGGATTCTGCGACGCCGATCGACTAAAGGGTTCCTCCGGCTAATGACAAGCTGATTTCGCGACAATGACGGTCCGCAAAGTGTGGAGAACGGATTTCGGAACTGTGGAAGGCTGTTGTGAATGGCGCCTGAAAGAGATGTGTCCACTCTGCGACACTAATGCAACAATGCTAACGAGACTGTGCATCTTAGGAAGAATTTTCTGAAGCAGTTCTGCCATTCTTCAACATTATCTGCTAGTTATAAGAGCTGTATACAAGTTATAAGAGCTACCAGTTTGCGTTTCGTGCACTAATTTTGATCATCGATGCAAGAAATCCGCAGTTTACTTATTTGTGCGATGACTGATTTTATTTGTCCGAATTGACTACGATGGCATAAACATTTGCAATTGAGATTATAATAAAATGGATAAACATTTATTTACTGTTTTAATATTCTTCTTATTGCGTTGATCTACACAGTTTTGTCATGAACTACGCAGTTTGTTTATTAGAGAAAATGCGCTAGCTAAGGAGATTAGTTTAACACATTTAAATGTTTTCTAAATACTTATTTTGGTGTTCATTATTTTTCTTCAGCAAGGATCAACTGCTTGGATTACTATTTCTTTTGCAGTTACATCGATTAGCACTTCTGTGCCCTTAATAATTTTCCTAAATAAAACGGGACAATTTTTATTTCTTGTTTTCTTTATTTGTTTTCACTTCTGGATTATGATAACAGTCTGACTCGAGATTATAGCGCAAGGGTTTTGTTACTCTATTTTGAAAGCAAAACTTTTGTGGAGGTATGTTCATCGTCTATCATTTTGCACTAAGTGTAATCGAAATAATAATGAAAATAGCAGGGAAGCGTTGAAAGAAATCCTGCAACATTTTAGACACTATTCCACCATCTCTTTGTGACCAAACAACCTTCACTCCAGCTATGTAATTTTCTTTCGTACACACTTTCAGACCGGCAGTTGCTACAATCGCTGGCCAATTTGATTAGTATTTACAGCATAAACATTGTTGTACCATGACGAATGGATCAATTAGGCCGACTCGTCAGGAGGAGTTTAGAGGAAGACAGAACCTCCTCGGAAGCGTCAATTGGTCGACAGGAGATGGTGCTCGCAATTCGATTTTATCTAATGGCGGCACCGCCGCGCTCCAGGGTTAATTGTTTCGACCTCAATGGCCGGCGTAACGAGTTTCGTTACAATACACCTAATTCCCGACATCGAGATAAGGCTGTTATCCGGGATGATCGAATTTGCCGGGGGTATATACTCGATTACTAGTGAATTGGCGCGATCGTTTCATCCAGCCCTGTGCTTTTCGTTTAATACGTGGGGGTGAATCCCAAAAGCCGCATAGGGGACGAAGGAGCCCGTATCCATCGGGCCCATGAATTTGCCGAGAGAAAACGTCTGTTTTGGAAACACTGAATTAACCGAGCTGGTTATGAATTATTCAACGCGATTCTCCTTTTTTTTAACGAAAAGCGAACACTCGTTTTAAGGGCTGCGTTCGTTTATAGGGGCAGAGATTGTCCGAATAAAACGCGGTTCGCTGAAGTGCATTAAATTATTCTGAATACTTTAATTCATTCCTCGACGACCCCCTATTTCACAAGTCTAAAGAAGTATGTGGTTCGAAAATGTTTTAAAAATCGCAGATTTAAAAACGCGAACAATGAAGCGACTTCGAAGTTGTACAACGTATTGATGAGTATTTTGAAAATCATCAATAGCTTGTGAAATATTTTAAAGTGGCTGAGATACTAGAATAATGATTGATTAATTTTGTTTGATATTTTAGAACAGTAAATTACAGAAATATGTTTTATCGATAACAAACGAAACAAAATAACATTTTGGAACCAAAACATGGATAGATCTTCATCGTCGGAGTTGAAAGAAACTTGCCGCGGGATATTTTGAAGAAGAAATCGAGCTACTAGCAACATTTTTAGCCAAACTGTGTTAAAGAATAAAATTTACAGTTGCGAGAGGATTCGAAAGAATCGGGGGTTACGAAAAGTTTTCTGAATTTTTCCAGGTGCCTCCGAAGGAACGTGTAACCGGATTGGACACGGAATATTTTGCAGACGTGGGAAGAGACGGCTGATTGCCGTGAGAAGAGCGTGGGTTCGGCCGCGTCATGGAAAAACAATGGAGGCAAACGAGGCGAAACGGCGTCTCCTCGTTTCTCTGTGAAATGGCGGAGCGGAAAATTGCCCCGAAGAAGAAATCACGGCGATTCCACGGTGAAAACAAGGACCGGGAGAGCTCAGACTAGACGAACGAATCGTCTGCAATTCACGGACCCTCGTTAGGCGAACGTTATTCTTGGGGAAATCGAGGAGGTGATCGTTTTGAGCACCAATAATCCATGATACAACACACTAATAGTTCCAAGCAACGGGACAGAAAGAAATCTTCAGAGTTGTTGTCTCTTGCTTCTATACCGTTATACAATTTTTTTGGTACAGTCTTTAAACCTTTTGTTTCCCTGTGACAAACACTTCGCGTCACCGTGTGCAATAATAACTAGATTGCGGATTTTTCTGTATTCATAGCACATTTTAGTTCGGGAAATGTCACGAAACTTTTTAATTTATATATTTATTTAGATCAGTGTGCGTCGTTATTTTATTTTGACCTGAAAGAATTTTCCAGTGGACAAAAGTAATTTTCTATTTATTCTGGGATCCTATAGAACAGTCTATGGAATGTAGTAATGAAAGAATGAAACTATTTTTAGATTGTTTTACTAGCGTGCACTATTTTATTAATATCGAAAGATAGATTTTTTAACTGAATAATAAAATAAAATAAATTTTTATCGAATAATGAAATTAATTAATTAATTAATTAAATTTTGTTGCGCAATGGGCTGTTACTTTAATCATTTCTATACGATAAAAACAGAGATCCGTTTACACAGACAGGTGACGAAAAGCGCATGGAGTTAAGGAGAAATCGGAGCGTGTAGTAAGTCAAAGTGTAAAATGAGAAAAACAAGAACACTTAAGCATGGAGGAAGAAATACGGGGGAGAGGCGGAAAATAAAGAGTCGAAAAGATTGATAAAGAAAAGAAGAGTAGGAAAAGTGAGGTTAGAAGTGAAAAGTGATAAAGACGGCAGGTCGATTATAGAGAAAGTGAAGTGCCGAAGAAAGCGCCATCATGTGGGAAAGACGAGAAAGTAGATAAAGTAGAAAGGTGAAGAGGGAATAGAGTAAAAAAATGAAGGCGAGGGGCTGGTTAAATAAAGTGGTTAAATAAAGAAAGAAAAGAAAGAGGAAACGAGGGTGGAGAAGAAAGTAGAAAAGGTGGAGGACAAGAAGAGATAAACAGTGGATAAGGAGAGGGGGAGGGGAAAATAGCTAGAGCAGGATATATGAAGATGCGAATAGAAGGAAATATGTGAAAACAGGATGTGAGAGAAAAGATACTAATGGACAGGGAGAGAAATGTATGGAAAGGGGGAATGTGAAGGGGAAAGTAGAAGTAGAAGACAAAAATGTAGAGAAAATAGCAGATGTGGAGAATAAGAGACGAGAAGGGAAAAGATGAGAGCAAGGAGTGCAAGAAGGACTTTTTGAAGAACGGTTAAGAAAAGAGAGGGAGAGAAAATAGGCAAGACAGTGTCTAAAAGATATAGAAATTAGAATAAGGGAAGAAAAGATGGTATCAAAATGAAAGGAAGGGAAAAAGAAAAGAGAGAAGAGGAGGGAGTAGAAGATTAGAAGAGAGGGATGGGAAAGAGAGAGAGAGAGAGAGAGAGAGAGAGAGAGAGAGAGAGAGTGAGAGAGAGAGAGAGAAGGAGGACTGGAAAATGATGGAAATCAGAAAGAAGGAAATGCAGAAAGAGAAGAACTGGAGAAAAGCAATAGAATCAAATTATAACAAATGATACAAGATAATAAGGGTTGAAAAAGTGTCAGAATATTTGAAAAGAAGATGGAAGGAAGAAACGTGGAATGAGCTGGCGAGGTACAGACTAGGAAACGAAATGAGGAGGAGGGGATACTGGGAGGAAGAAGATGATAGACGGTGCAGAAGATGCGGAGGCGAAACAGAAACAAGGGAAGGATACAGGGGAAGATAAAAAAGATATTAGCAGAAGACGGAAAGGGTGAGGAGTGGATGACAAAGCTAGATAGGGAAAGAAAGGAAAAGCAGGGAGGGAAGTGTGAATAAAAGAGAAAAAGAAGAAGGGAAGTATGGGAGTGAGAGGGAATGAGAGGGAGTGGAGGAATGAGAGAGACGAGGTGCGAAAGGAGCTGTAAAGAGAACAGGGGCTCTTTGTATCCCGTAAAGGTACAAATATACATATAAACATATGATTAAAGACATCACTAACTTTTGATTACTATCCTAAATTTTCTAAGATATATTAGAAAAGTATCTGATCGAAGAAAAAATATTTAAAAACAGAACTTAGGGGAATACATACATATGTAGATGTGTACAGTAGCACGTATATATGTGTACCACTTGCCTGTATGTGTGTACATATATATGCATGATGCTATGCACGCATGCGTAGTACAAGATAGATGTGAAACGTATGTGAAGATATCTAATTGTGATTAAAATCTGGTAAGTAGTGCACGTGGTAGCGTTGAAAATCGTTTATCTGTTTATTGTACAATTGCATACTTATAAGAGAAGTATTTTATTCAGCAATTATTATTCGTTTTAAATTGAAAATGTTATGCAAAACTACTAATATTTAACATTTTAATTAAAGAAAAGAATATACGGATTACAATGGCAACAGACAAGGTTATAACCGAAGAAGTTACAGCAAGTATTTCGTCCAACGAATCTAAGGAACAAATATCAAAGAATGATGATAATGCAAATGTCCTACCTTTGAAAGAGGTAGAAATGAAATCTTATAGAAGTAAAGATAAAGAGTCATCAAGCGAAGAAAGTAGCGAAGAAAGTAGTAGTGAAGATGAACCTAGTATTAAAACTGAACCACCTACTCCTAAAAATAATAATAATGATAAAAATATGTAAGCCATTGAATTTTTTTAATTTTATACGTATTAAGTTTGATATTATTATTAAATTTTGTGTTCTCAGACAACATATGGGAATCAGAAAGAAAAGAGGCATTAAAAGTGAATGCGAGAACTTACCACCTGTAGAAGATATAAAAATTAGTATGCCTGAAGTATTATGTGATCCAGTAGGAAAGGTGCTGATTAATTTTGAATTTANAGAGAGAGAGAGAGAGAGAGAGAGAGAGAGAGAGAGAGAGAGTGAGAGAGAGAGAGAGAAGGAGGACTGGAAAATGATGGAAATCAGAAAGAAGGAAATGCAGAAAGAGAAGAACTGGAGAAAAGCAATAGAATCAAATTATAACAAATGATACAAGATAATAAGGGTTGAAAAAGTGTCAGAATATTTGAAAAGAAGATGGAAGGAAGAAACGTGGAATGAGCTGGCGAGGTACAGACTAGGAAACGAAATGAGGAGGAGGGGATACTGGGAGGAAGAAGATGATAGACGGTGCAGAAGATGCGGAGGCGAAACAGAAACAAGGGAAGGATACAGGGGAAGATAAAAAAGATATTAGCAGAAGACGGAAAGGGTGAGGAGTGGATGACAAAGCTAGATAGGGAAAGAAAGGAAAAGCAGGGAGGGAAGTGTGAATAAAAGAGAAAAAGAAGAAGGGAAGTATGGGAGTGAGAGGGAATGAGAGGGAGTGGAGGAATGAGAGAGACGAGGTGCGAAAGGAGCTGTAAAGAGAACAGGGGCTCTTTGTATCCCGTAAAGGTACAAATATACATATAAACATATGATTAAAGACATCACTAACTTTTGATTACTATCCTAAATTTTCTAAGATATATTAGAAAAGTATCTGATCGAAGAAAAAATATTTAAAAACAGAACTTAGGGGAATACATACATATGTAGATGTGTACAGTAGCACGTATATATGTGTACCACTTGCCTGTATGTGTGTACATATATATGCATGATGCTATGCACGCATGCGTAGTACAAGATAGATGTGAAACGTATGTGAAGATATCTAATTGTGATTAAAATCTGGTAAGTAGTGCACGTGGTAGCGTTGAAAATCGTTTATCTGTTTATTGTACAATTGCATACTTATAAGAGAAGTATTTTATTCAGCAATTATTATTCGTTTTAAATTGAAAATGTTATGCAAAACTACTAATATTTAACATTTTAATTAAAGAAAAGAATATACGGATTACAATGGCAACAGACAAGGTTATAACCGAAGAAGTTACAGCAAGTATTTCGTCCAACGAATCTAAGGAACAAATATCAAAGAATGATGATAATGCAAATGTCCTACCTTTGAAAGAGGTAGAAATGAAATCTTATAGAAGTAAAGATAAAGAGTCATCAAGCGAAGAAAGTAGCGAAGAAAGTAGTAGTGAAGATGAACCTAGTATTAAAACTGAACCACCTACTCCTAAAAATAATAATAATGATAAAAATATGTAAGCCATTGAATTTTTTTAATTTTATACGTATTAAGTTTGATATTATTATTAAATTTTGTGTTCTCAGACAACATATGGGAATCAGAAAGAAAAGAGGCATTAAAAGTGAATGCGAGAACTTACCACCTGTAGAAGATATAAAAATTAGTATGCCTGAAGTATTATGTGATCCAGTAGGAAAGGTGCTGATTAATTTTGAATTTACATTTTTTAATAATACGTACAGTAACATAGTATAAGTGCAAAATTTTAGGTTGCATGGATGGTTGACCAATTAGTAGTTGTCCAGCCGAAGCTAGAGAAGCCAGCTTTAGATTTAGATACAATCTTATTTGTTGATAAAGGGAAAAGGGCATTGGGTAAAATATTTGATGTTTTTGGAACTGTGAATGCACCCTATTACTGTGTCAGGTTCAACAGTGCAGAACACATTCAACAAGCTAACATTAAAGTTGGCATGGTTGTTTATTATTGTCCAAATACAGCACATACATCTTTAATACCATTGTTTCAGTTACTAAAGTAAGTCTCTCTCTCTCTCTCTCTCTCTCTCTCTCTCTCTATTTACGATTACATCACAATCATTAAATAAAATTTTATATTAAATATTAAAATAAGGTCTACTCACGGTTATATTGCTTTATTTTAATATTTAATATAAAGTCTTATTCAACGATTTGTACTTTTTCAGAATAAAAGGCGTAGATGCAACTCCATCTGAGACACCACAATTTTCTGATGATGAGAAAGAGATGGCTTATTACGGAATAAAAAACCCAATGCAATCAATTGAGTATGTCTATTCACAATTATATTACTACATTTTAATATTTAACATAAAATCTTGTTTAATGATTTGTACTTTTTTAGGTTACCAGACGCAGATGCAAATTCAGATGGAGCCCCGGAATTGCCTGCTGATGAGGAAAACCAGCCTTCTTCTGAAAAAATAGAACAAAAGGAACAATCTTCTAAAATGGATGCAAAGGATCTATGAAGATGGCGTCTACATTCCACACAATCTATTTGTTGATTTAAACTGTAAACTGAAAATATAGAAATATGATTTAATAAGGAAATTGTGGGACTGAAGAATGATTTCAAGGCAACCCCGCGTTCCCGTGGCTCGTTTATCGCAAACTAGATATGGTCGGACGATAAATTAGGAGCGTATCGATGCACGGGTGCAAGGCAAGGGTCAGCCTTAAAACAAACGTGTAATTTACCAGTGGCTAACCTGCTTTGCCAGGGGTCAACCTCCGTAACTATAATACCTCGGAGGGTAATGGGTCGACAGCGTAGGAGCCCTCGAAGATTATGATGGGTTATACTTTAGTAGGCGGAGTAGACTCCCGTTTAAGCAGTAATTAAGCCTCGCTCCGCCCTCGGTCACGCTTCTTTTGGTCCCGCGAAACTGGTCGGCCGATCCTCGACCCGTAAATTCTCAGGAAATTCGAAATCTCAGCGTCGATTCGCCTCTGTTTGCAACCGGACCCTCTCGTAAGTATACCTATTTCATCATTCTACTAACCTTAGCTAGAAAATTGCTCGGATATTCATGCTGATTTGATGTAGAGATACATTTACCTAAATCACCTACAAATAGATCTTTGTGCAAGATACAAATTTCCTGCATAACAGTTGGACAGACATTTATTTACTGCTGTAATAATTCTATATGAAGAATCTATATACGAATCATTCTACATATGAATTTTCTTACTGTGTTGATCTACATAGTTTTGTCGTAAAATACGCGGTTTGTTTATAAGAGAAAATGCACTAGCTAAGGAGATTAGTTTAACACGTTTAAGTGTTTCCTAAATACTTATTTTAGTGTTCATTATTTTTCTTAGACAAGGATTAACTCCTTGGACTACAATTTCTTTTGCAGCTACATTAATTAACACTTCTGTGCCCTTAATAATTTCCCTAAATAGAACGAGACAATTTTCATTTCTTGCATTCTTTATTTGTTTTCACTTCTGAATTTTGATAACAAATTTTCTTTCCAGTCCAGTCGTGGTTATAGTGCAAGGGTTTTACCAAGGGTTGTAAACCAAAAACACCGAAGAGACATAAAATATGCTATCTAACTTCTGTGTATGCATGCTCATCGTTTATCATCCTGCACTAAGTGTAACATTATTTCCAAATAACCAACAAAGGACTGCAGCAGAATTAAAACTTTACACGAGCTGATCAAGTGACCACATAAATTACAAATTCAGATATTTTCAAACGAAGACGATAAACATTTTCTAAAGGTTATTTTCCACGTGTCAACTTGAAGAAACATTGAGAGCGTCGAGAGAGTGGGCCCACGGATGGGATTCAAAACTGGAACGCAGCGCAGAAAACGAGAAGCAGAGCCGCATATGAAACTCGGTTCCCCGAAAGTGTACCACGGGGCCCGCGATACCGGTCGCTAATAAATTGATAATTCATTCAACTCGCAGACCAACAAATTACGCGCGTCAACACAGAGGACGCCAGGCGGAGGCAGAAGAAGCTGAAGAGGAGAGTGTAGGGGACGGGGGTGGCGGTCGGTTCGATCGTATAAATCTCACGTATTCGGCTGCGTGGCACGCCGTGACGGCCTCTAACGATATATTCTGATATAATTAAAACAATAAATAAGATGGCGTCCCACCGCGAGCACCGGGGGTCGAACTCTAGCTACGTTTCTACCTTCCGTCGCAACCCCTCGCCCATGTTTCTCCTCTCTTTCTATCTTCCTCCCTCTCTTTCTGCTTTCGAGAAATTACTTTTACGGCTCGAGACCCCCGGCTGTTGTCCACTTCCGGTCCAACTGGAGCGTCTTCGGTTTCCTCGCGGAATCTGGTGGACACCGTGGTTTGTCACGGTCGTTAACTGACCGTGAGCTAACTGTGTGCTCTGTTAACAGAATACATGCTTTTATTGCCGTGCTTGTACCTCGACAAGTTCATTGTCGCGTTGAACTTTGTTGACATGCGACACCGTTCTTCGTCAATCTTTAAAAATTTATTCGTGACGCAACTTTTACGTAAGTTTCGATTTTTTAACTTTTTTACGTACGAATCAGGTTTTTTTAAGAAATTGGTTTGTAGATCTTGTTGTGCGTTATTTAAGCAATCTAGGCGAAATATTTGAACTAGATATCCCTAACTCAAAGGACTTTGCATTTACCTGGTAACATTTTTCCAAAGTCATCTGCCTGAAACAATTCATACGACACAATATTGTGTCAAATACACCACATAAAACGAAATTGTTTTCATTTTTTCTAGACGGCAGAAGCTAGTATTGCCGAATCCGATTTCAAAGAAATCAATTTTTCTAACAAATAATAGCCATTCATAAACTTCTAATGTTAACTCCAGTCTGCAGTTTGCTTTGTCGATAAAAACAAGAAAAACACGAAAATTTCGTTTCGCCAAATGCTGGACAGTAGTCTTAAGAATATAGCCGTGAAATTCCCTACGAATTAGTCCAGCAGCTTCCTAATATTTCTAGCCAATTTCTGTCCTAGCAACTTCGAACTCGAATACCCAGGCAGCGTCCCTAATCTCGAGCAAACAACTCAGAACACTATAGAGAAATCAGAGGAAGAATTTCTACAGCGATAGAATGAACAATCAACTCCGCGTTTCAACCCCTTGATCCTCTGATTTTCTCCCCCCGGATCTCCCATTATTTTTCCAGGCAGCGTCTGGGCGCGCGTCCGCTGGTATGTCTGGCATTTTTAGTATGTGCCTTGGTCCGCTGCGGAACAGTTGTCCCTCTCCTCAGTCCCGTAGAAAAATCCATGAACTTCGAAACAAGTTATTTTCGATGACACGGTTCTTTCGTATCCAACCTCGAAATCATCATTCCCAAACACACGATCCTGAAAACGGAGTTCGTTTGATCAGAAAAATTGGAGGATCTTGAAGGAATATCCAACGACGAACACGTCTAAGCTGGACGATACTTTACCCGTTCGGCACACGCGACCGTGGAGATTCCTATCTGGGCTTGATAAATTGCTGTCCCTACCCGTGGCCCCCTCTGCCCCCCGGCAGCTCTCTTGATCCGTGTGTTCCTGCGCAGTGTCCCGGCGCCCTCGAGCACCCGGTTTCACCTTAATATTAATTTGCCCCTCCATTGTCCACTTTTATTACTCACATATCTTACCGGTTCTTGGTTTTGTTGCGCGCGTTCCGGTGACTTGGTTCCTCGCTGGCTCGAACGGGCCCTGGAACCCGCGTTCAAGGGGTGGCACGGTTTTCGACCAGGATAAATGGTCGTTCGGGGGCGGAGGAGGAACTAAGGCTCCCGCGGGGTGTATTTAGACACGATCCTTTCTGTTTAGCTACAACAGAGATTTTCTGTTTTGAATCATTCGCCGAGATCTCGAGGATCGGCCTTTCTAAATCGGAATCACGTCTATCTGCCGAGTTTACGTGATTAATATAGAAGAAATGTTGGTCATAGACGTATATTACAGATGTATATGCATATATGTAGATTGTATCTCATAAATACTACCAGCGATGCATGTACGCATAGCTGGATATTATTTGTTCATATTCTTTGGAAATAATGAGTACGAAATTGTTGTCCAATTGGTTCTTATTCTTGGTTTTGGTTCTGGTTTTTTTCATTTTAAATAAAGGTACAGACACTTATAAGTTTGAAGAAGTCACGATCTTCGTACCTCTTGCAATGATATTATATTTTCTTGATACACAAAAGACGCTCCAAAACGTTAGCTAATTTATGCAAGTCTCACATTCTCCTTGATGATTCAGCAGAACCTGTAACTTTACAGGATTTTCTGGTCACACATTAATAAAATGTATTCAATATTTCGCGCAAGAAATGGTACTATTCTTCGTACAAAAATGATCGCTTCATATGACAGTCTTGAAGAGACGAGTAGCAAGAAATTGAAACTCCGGATTAATGAAATATTTTAAGACGTTGTAGCATATCAGATTCTCTAACGTCAATCTCAAAGAATCCAGAGAATTCATTTCTCCAAAATATTCAACACAGTGCAGCTAACACAATTCCAACAAGTGATGAATTGGTGTGCAGAAGTCGCCCCTTACCGCCATATTTCCCAGAAAAATACGTAGCTATCACGGAGCGAATTCCCCTTGGAGCGGACACGAAGAGGCAAGCACAGAAAGGACGGTGAAATACGCCGCGAGAAAAGCGGTGCATCATGGTGCAAGTCCTGCGGAAGATCGTGGAAGACGGTCGAGCGGTCGCGATCGATACAAGGTGGCAGCCGAAGGAAATCTGCATCGGCTCGATCCATAAATCACTGTTTCGCGCAAGGCCAGCCAGCGAGCGGCGTGGCGCAGCAACATCGACAGTTGGGCTACCTGTTGCTGGGTCCCCGGGCGAGTTCGCAATTTTTCATCGTATGCAAAACGGGTGGAAACGGCCGAAGGAGGAAGAATCTCGGCCACGCCTCCGCGGCCGGGCCACGGAGCTCGATGACAAATTCTTCCGTTCGCGGACAATCGGCGCACAAATTGCATCGATTGTGCCGCGATGTCTCTCGAGTAAACGTCGGGACGTTATATAGCGGGCAAGGACGCGGCGAAAATGGGGCCTGGTTGGGAACCACGCCCGCGAACGGGCCCACGAGTCTGGAGGAGCTCGAGAGGGTGGTGATCTCTTCCGCGGGGGGCTCTCGGGACTCGTAAACGTATCGGTGATCGATTGTGCGGACAGATGTGTCGTGTCACGCTGCTATTCGGTAATTAACCCTTTCGTCGTGGCCCTGAAGGGCTGGACGGAACACGCCTTTGAGGAAGATCGTCTTGTAATAGGTCTCGAGAAATGCAGCGATGAATTGTACGAAGATTGAGGATACTGAGAGAAGCCCGCGGATTTGACTCATTTGCAACGTTCATTGTGACGTGAGAAATATCGGATTGAATGACGGGCACACAAACTGACTAGAGAATCTTTACGTACATTGTTACTTTTTTAAATTGTTCTGTAAAGCACAGCATTGGGAGAAATTTTCTTTCTTTGACTGAAAGGCTCTTTGTGGAAAGAATGAATGAATTTTAAGCATGAACTCTCTCTCTTTCTA